GATTCGGGGCCACTTCTTCAGCAGGATGTGAGCCCAGTTGGTAAGAACTGCCTTTTGCAACTCAAAGCAACTCCTCTGATCTGATTAAGATTACAACATCCACCATAATCTGTTATCATGTCTCCTCATTATTTAATACATATAGATTAGGACATTTTATTTAAAGAGTTTGTCTCGAGTCATCTCTTCTCAGAAAGGAATTGGAAACAGAAAGCTTCAAGGTGCAAGGTGTTTCAAAATTGCAGTGGTAGATCCAACCAGGAAATCTGATCATCAAAGAGGGAGAAAATCTGACTTCAAAGTCAAACCCAAACGATACGGCTAGAGATGTTCTGTTTGTTAGAAATTCTAATCACTCTGTTCCCCTCTTTAACTTATGAACCACATGTTCCATATGAGGAAGGTTAAAGGCGACTCTTCCAGTTCATCTTGGTTAAACCTCTTTATGCTTTAATTCAATGTGTGCTTATTTGTTGTTTTAGGAATTTTTGCTGAAATAAATACAAAAATAGATGCATTGCTCCAAGGTTTAGCCTGTTTTGGGCAGATAAGCTTGCACAGATGTTGCCATATTTTTCAGGCACTCTAACACTTATTTGGCTTTCTATGATAAAATGCATTCTAAGTTGATTCCTCATCTGTGTTTACTATAGATTCCCAGTATCTGCATTCGGGTGAAAAGCCGGTGCTTGTGTAAAGCTTTATCTAGCCCAATAATCCCAAAGTGCTTCACGCTATAATCAATCCTTGAATCATTAATTAACACATTCACACCCTTATATGGGAGATACTCTTGGTTTAGGACAGAACTGGTTAAACTGGAGTAACAGTGACCATCAAAACATCCTGTGAGCCAACAAAACAGTCACACTGCATTTTTGAAGCAATGTTTTCTACCATGTTTTGTTTAAAATTACATTATTGTCAAAAAATTTGGCTCATATTGCAAATAAATAGAACAGAGACCAAATGGAAACACTGGAGAAGAATGAGCATTGCTAAAATTCTATAGGAAGACCTCTTAAGTTAAGAGATTAAAAAGAAAAAAACTAAAAATTACGTCATGAGGAGAAGTGGGGTTCTTATGGCAGCTGACAGCAGCAAAAAAGAGAAGAAATTTACTCTCTGCATTTGACCCATCCCCTTGTGGAGCAGTGGGCTGCCATTGTGTGGAGGGTTTTGCTCAGGAACCCAGAGTGGAGACTGTGAAGATCGAACTTGCAACCTTCTGAGAGCACAAGTGCACTAATCTAACCACTAGGCCAATACTCCCCGTTACGTTCACTGGGATGATGTTTTTGCAAAAGGTGCATCTCATCATGAAATGGACTGTTTACATCTACAATGGTATGAAAGAAAGAATAAAATAAATAAAATCTCATTTATGTAAATGATCTCACTTTTGATATATTTAATCCTAGTTTTGTGGTTTTTCAAGGCTTTTATGTCTAATTCTTACATGTCAATGATGTCTACAACTTAGAAAAAAAAAGTCTGCACAGCATATGTTAGAAAATATTCCATGAATGCAAACCAGAAAGGAGCCATGCGGCTCTTCTGGTTGCTTTCTTCAAACCGAGATAAAGCATGCTTTAAATCTGAAAAGAGAATCTCAGCGTCTTTAGCTTCAGCTGACTGATACCTCTGAATGTCAACATTGTGTCTCAGCTGTTGGAAAACAGCATATCTGAATGCAAATTCATTCCAGCACCAGCTGCTGTGTCAAGATGAAAATACCCTTGAAACTTCTAATGAGCTCCCTGCTGTGAATAAAGAAGGCAAGGAGGTCACAGAAGTTACAATAAGAGGAGGGTGTGCTTTTCTGGGTTATCTTCAAGTGTTATGTGTTCCTGCATTCATGTGCAAGCAAGTGCCTTGACTGGAGGCAAACGACTGGATAACGAGTCGTTATCATGTCATTGTGTGGTGAAACTAAAGCTGCAGTATCCACACTCACACTGTCAGGTCTAAAATGTCTGACCTCATATTTTCCAAACCCATAAACCCCATTAATGCAGCTCCAGCCCTGTCACAAACAGCAGCGTTTCTGTAAAATTTGGCACTCAAACACCCAATAATGTACAGAACCCCTAAAGCAAGCAGAAAAGGTCACTGGTTTGTTGTTTTTCTCCTTGTAAAGAGGATTCCTTAACACCGATATCCCCTTCTACAGTTAAACCGGACACACCACTATCAGGTCCAGGTGACGGCCCCCAGGCAGCACTTTCATCTTCCCTCATCTGGTTTCACCACCGTTCACACCTTGACTCACGTGTTTCCAACATCTCTCAGGACGACCAGCAGGATAAACGACCCACATATTACTACCACACACTAGATGGGTACAAACTGTTCTTTAGCTTGACTGATTCATACCTCACTGTAGTTACAATTAGTAATTTTATCTCTATATGATGTAGTTACACATGCAGGTAGAATAGAAAATCTGTTTATTGTCCCACAATGGGGAAATTCTGGTATTGGCTGATAATGGTAGAAGGTAAATGCAGTCCTGGCCCTTTGGACCCTCAACAATGGCTCTTAATGATGACTAAATTGATATAAAGAACTAACTAATGTGGTTTAATAACAAACCGCATTTTTAGAAGCTTTAGTGGTTTTGAAAATATGAATTTGAACCAAATTATTACAACTAAACTACATTAAAAGAATCAGAAATATGTCTTTAGAGCTATTTTAATTAGCTTGGAAATGAATACATTCTTCATTTTGCATTAAAGAATAAAAAAAAAAACATTATTCGTTTTATATGATTTATGTTTTTCCTTATTTTTAAAAGCTAAAAATACAGTTGGTTGTTTAAGATGGTACCAGATTTTCTATGGCAAATATTTAACAAAAATAACAGGTCGTTTTATTGTAAAGTCAATGTAATATTTTGCTAGCCTCGTGAGACCATCCTGATCTCGCAAGCTTTCAAGATTTCACTCGCTAATCAGTCTGGAGACTCTCCGTTGAAGAAAATTTGGAGCAGTTCACCAAACGAACGTCCAATCAGCGTTGGCTTTGAGGCGGGTTGAGGTGTGACGCAACGAGAAGCGCGACAGTTCAGTCTAAAGAACATGGCGGCTTCAGCCGATGAAACTAGCGTTAGCGTGGCTATCGAGCAAGTTTTATCGGAATTACGGAGTATTTCTTCACTGAAAGAAGAGCAAAACACTGCTCTGGAGGCTTTTCTCAGAGGAAAAGATGTTTTTGCTCTTCTCCCGACTGGTTTCGGCAAGAGTAGCCTGGCTGTTAGTGCGTCATATGCTTCGTTGATCTGATTGGTTTATTTGGCCCGTCTATCACCAACATAGGCCAATCAGCTAACCAGTATTTTCGCCCCTTCCCAAAATTACTTCAATGGAAGGTTTCCAGATGGATTTGCTGCGCATATCCATCTGGCGGAGTCAGGTTAATGTTTTGCAGTTTCAGATTACTTTACAGACTTAGAGCAAAATTACTTTTTTGATGCCAAGTGTTGCAGAACCCCTGCTTCAAAAGCTGCACACTCTGCTAAGAGCAAAAAGGGATCCAGGCAGCATCATCCTGTGGGGATGTAGAAGTGGGAAGTCATAAAGATGGATGGTTTAAAACAAAAAGTAAACAAAATACTTATGGGACAGATCTTATATTAAGCAGGACAGAGATATGATGAACTGCTTTAAATCAAAACTCTTTCTTCTCGTAGAACAGTTCATTTAAAGTTTAGAACCTGGAGAATTTGTGACTCTGCTTGAAAATAGATGTTGAAAAATGTATAATCTTCGTGTCTAACTAAATTAGAGCTATTTAGCAGATAAGCCTCCCACAAGTTACTGCAGTCAAAAACTTGATTACATGAAACATGCACATCATGATGCTCCTATTTTTTGGGTTGCTTCTCACTTATAATCTCAATTAAATCTATTTACATTTTTGGTTTAAAGGGATACAATGTTCGGGGGGATGAATACCTTAGTAAGGCACCGTGTTCAGCTGCAGGGAAAAGATCCCTAGTTTGTTTATTTTGTTAATTATATCCAACACAGGCTTGATTAGCAATCCTCTTTAGCAGCTTAGCTGATATAAGTTTCTGTCAGCATGAACCCCATAGTTAAGACCAGAAAAGAAAAAAAAAAAACTTAGAAACCCCAAAGAAAGTTCAGCTGCTTTTAATTTACTTAATCAGGATAACCTGAATCCTTTAAATGCAAAAACAGCCCTGGGTGGAACACGTTTACATCATCACAAAAGAATAAACAGCAACAGCTTCGGACCTCTTAATTGTCGCAGTTTCACCGTCAGCAGTTGGCAGACAACAGAAGGTGGGAATCCAACTAAACGGATTGTTTCGTCTCCGATGGGGGAAGGGAAGGACTCCGTCCTCCCTGATGGCCTCGTTTACCTCCCCATGAATAGTAAATACGGCCAGAACTCAGGACTTTAAACTCCAAATGGGTGCTGTGCAAACATTTCATGGATGTGGTGGAAGAACAGCATGCAATTCTTGTTATCTGCAGTTTCATAGTGACTCTCCTTCAGATCAAGTTAACCCCAGAGGGAAATATCTGTTTCATTAGTTTCTGTGTGCTCTCATGCACAGACGGTAACCCGACTCACAGCCTCCAAAACAGAAGAAAGAATGCAACTTTCTGCCTTTAAATAAATAACTTGTGTGATTTTATGCTTAAAGTGAAATGATGCCAATTTTCCATACAGGGTTAAGGATTTATTCAGCCTCTAAATTTACAAAAATGTACAATTTGTATAAACATCAGAACAATAACAACTGAAACTTAACATCTGCATGTGCTGATGACAGGAATGTGCTTTCTATTAGTGAATAATTAATACTCTGAAACCACAGAACATTGCTTCACGTCGCATAATTAGGAGAACTCTGGCCTCTGTCCACAAAGAAGCATCCAATAAATATTTTAGAAAGAATTAAAAACAGCCTCTCTGTGAAATGGGAGGGTTTTCTTCTCTAGAATCCTTTCATATAAATGTTTTTAGTCCTTCTTAGAAATCCTCTTTAAATATGGCCTAAACAAGCACTTAGTGAAGACTGACTATTGTCGATATCAAATGGTTCAGCTTTCCACGGCAACAACGCCAAGAAAGTCAATACTGCTTCGGTTTTATGAGCAAGTCCATTTCTGCTGACCCCTGAAGGCAGTTTATAATTTCTGTTTTTCGGTTGGCACAAATTGCTCTCCTTCAGGAAAAAAAAAAAACGGCTCATTGAGCCTAGAAGTGTCCCAACGCTGAGAGGATCTCCTCGAGGTTATGCCCACAATCCCGGAGCTCAGAGTTCATCTCTTTCTGTTTCGACTGTGCTTCACCGTCTTCTTCCGCTTCAGGATCATCTCGTAGAGTTTCTCCAGGCCCGCCTGCAGCCCCTGTCCGTCCACGGCGCTGCAGCCCTGCACGTGGTACAGCGTGTAGATGCCCAGCTCGTGCACGGACAGCAGTTTTTCCACCTCACCGACGGACAAGGCCGAGTCCAGGTCCTGTTTGTTAGCCAGGATCAGCACCGGCACCCCTTGATTCTCTGAGGTGCGGGTGATCTTATGGAGCTCCACTTTAGCCTCCTCCAAACGCTCCAACTCATTGGAGTCCACAACAAACACTATCCCATCCGTTCGACGGGTGTAGGACTTCCAGAGGGGCCGCAGCTTCTCCTGACCGCCCACGTCCCACACTTGGAAGTTCGTGGCCCGCCCCCCCCCCACTGCCACCTTCACTTTCTCCGTGTTGAAACCTTTAGTAGGGATTGTTTTCACAAACTCCTTCAGTTTGAGCCGGTAGAGCAGGGAGGTTTTCCCAGCTGAGTCCAAGCCGATCACCACAACATGCAGACACTGGAAGCTGGGCAGGAAGGACGAGGTGGGGGCGATGTCAGTCAGCTGGTTCCCCATGATTCGAACCAAGAATTCACACCCGCTGAGGAGAGGTGGCAGATTCCTTGACACTTGCAGATCCAAACAGGCTGACAGGACTGGACGATGACTGGAGACCTTATCAAAAACACAGAGCGAAAGCTTGGGTTAACATTCAATGAAAAGATAAGTTCAGCCTGTCTGCGATGTGAACTATTTCAGTGTCAAGCATCGATGATAAGAGTGGAAGAGTTTGAATTCCACCATCTGATGCAACGTGATGGAAAACAACCGTCTGTGTCGCAACCTGTCGAGTTTACATCAACAAACCTGGTTAAGACAACACCGACCAATGCGCAGAAAATAAATAATGGAAAATGATGACAACACATCACCCTGGTGAACATAGTGGTGGCAGTATCATGCTGTGGGGATGTTTTTCTTCAGTTAAAGTAAATGTATCAAGATGCTGCAAACTTTTGGGAATGGGGTAAAGATTTAACCCCCTTGCCCCATCTACCAACAAGACAATGACCCTTAATATGCAAAGGAATGGTTCAAATCACAGCTTATTGGTGAACTCAGTTGACCTAGTTAAAGTTCCATTTTGGATCTAATCAAGATTCTGTTGTTAGACCTTAAAAATGTTTACCTATAGATTCTATTCACTCCATCAAGCTGATTTTGAGCTGTTCAGAAACAGATAAAGTCGATTTTTACAAAAAAACAAAGCAGATAAAAGGAGTAAAGTTGGATTTTACCGTGAAAGATGATGCACATTAATACAAATCCTTTAAGTTTTGCAAAAAAAAATTATATAATTGCTTTCAAGACACTAGTCAGTCTAAACTGATTTCCTCCACATTTAGACTATAATAAATAATCTTGTATATTCAGTCCTACATTAAGGAGCCAAACAACAGTTAATTGGACGTCTGTGCTTGTGTTAGTCTTATTTGCTCTGCCTAATCCTCTTAAGACGGTTAAGCAGAAAGTCTTTTCCTTCAGGCTGATTGATTTCAATCCAGAGGAAGCAATATGTATCCAGGGCTTCCCTCAGCACTGCTGCAGCAGCAGCTGCTCTAATCCGGTTGTTGTTGACATCCTGATGCCCATCATCACACAGCTGCTTCTGCACTCTGGCCTATTCTGCATTCATCCTATAAGGTGGTGAAGCAGCGGACGCTGAGCTGCAGAGAAAATGCACAGTCATGTTTCAGATCTGAGGGTTTTGACCTCTGACTAAATCTAACTGTGCAGGAAGAGAGCAGAGCTCATCTTCTCATGCAGACGGCGGCACCTTTCATCTTTTTGTTATAACAATATATCAAGTGGAAAACTTCCCCCAATTCCCTGGAAACCTCTCAGCTCTAGAAACTCAAACATGACTTCCAGTTTTAAAATGCAAAAATAATTCATCCATACCTGGTTAAATGATTGGAGGAATAATCATCCACAGGAGAAAAATAAAACCATGTTTGAAAGGAAATGTTTGTGTTCTCCTCTCTCTGCTGCTCCTGCTCCTGCTCCACCGGCCGGTCGGATCTCCTCCTGCTGCTCCTCTGACTGAGGAGGAATCCTGGAGGCTCAGCCAGCACCACCTTCAGCCCGGCTGACGTCACGGTCAGCTGAGGGTTACTCTGCGCCTCCTGCTGGAGGAGTTATGAACTGCAGGGCATACAGAGGCGTTCTCTCACCCGAGCGTCTAAAATATTAAACATATAAAAGAAAGAAAGAAAAAACTTATTTAGACAATTGATGTTGAAATTGACCTGAGATTTATTCACAAAACATTATCCATCAACATCAGAATAAACAATGTTGTTATAACGCCACAGAGAGAAAAACAGTTTTATTATTCATAATTTAAAGGGGAAAAAATAACAGAAATTCAGCTTTTACTCTGGTTTTAACCATCAAAATAAACATAGTTTCAACATTTTCCCTTGTAAAATTATTTATGTTATTCCTTCTACTAAAATGAATTGAAGTTTTTGCTTGACTGATCAGAGAATTCAATCATTTACGCTTGGGAATTGCAAAATCTTGCACTGTAAATGATCCATCCTATTCCCTTCACAAAGAAAAAAAAGGAAGAAAGAAAGAAAGAAAGAAAGAAAGAAAGAAAGAAAGAAAGAAAGAAAGAAAGAAAGAAAGAAAGAAAGAAAGAAAGAATAAATTGATATTAGTGATATAGTAGGACTCTTGTATTAGTGAAGTCAGATGTACATCATTTATTTGAATTAGTTACTATCAGATCGTAGGATAATTACAAATATTTCAGCCAAATATTTGAGTGAAAAAGCACATTATTTAATAAAGCTGCAGATATTTTCTAGAAAATAATCAGCAGAATAAAATTCAAAAATCTCTCTAACACGTTTTACAAAACAGTTACAAATGACCAAGCTTTTAACATCTATGTTTAATACAGCACTTTGCTCTTCAAGTTGGTTTGGAGCTTTCTATTGTAATGCTTTGGCTCCACCTTGTGGCAAAAGTACTAAAAACAAAGCTATGTTTTAGAAATGGGGAAAATTACCAAAAATCTCATATTTTTTTTCTGTTGAAAGCTTGAGAGCAAAAGAAGACTCGTGTGCAAACAATTTTCAGGAACATCAGCTCTCCTCTATGTGATATTTTTTGCTCGAGTTGAAATCTTATTTTTTCAAATCCTATTTTTGCCAAACTAAGCTATATTTTTCATTTTGAATTATTATTAAGCTAAAGAGATACAACACAATGGTTTAGTAACATGACATCAGTGCAACAACATGGAAAGATAAAAAAAAAAAAGATAAACAAACAAAGACTCATTTCAAACTTCTACACAAGTCTTACCATTGAAATCATTTTTATGCATTTATCTTCTTTTAAAGCTACACTCTTGCTTTAAAGATTTTAGCTTTATTATAATCAGTTACATAACAGAACAAAATGGGATTCAGTGTAACTGGTTGATGTAAAATAGAGATCTGTGATAAAAATGATCAAAACCCTAACATGAACAGGATATCCTGAGCTATTTTCTACATCTTTGCTTCTATAGGCTTAGACTGCTGGAGGACATAGTTACCCCTTTTCATCATTTTATTTCTATTCTCCCATTCTGCAGTATTTATTTGTTGAATCTCTAACATTATTCTCTCTGTTTTTTTCTCACAGTAACTTCATTTGGTTTCTTCCTGTTTGGCTGTGAGTCCATTCTGGAGAGAAATATCAGCTGTGCTGCTGCCATCAACACCTTTGTTTATAGAACTTGGAGCTTGGCCTGTTTTTTCAGTGTAGTCCTGTTTCTCTGACTGTGACTGGCTGAATGTGCTCTCTTTCATTCTCTGACATGGGAGCTGGCTCGGAACTTGTTTGCCTGGATGTGTTTTCTGGACGGGGCCGCCTGTGGAGCTGGTTGACTGTTGCCTTTTGAATCTCTGCTTTTTCTTTGTCCACTTCTTTCTCCTTGAACCCCAGTAGGCCTCGGCAGATGGCCGCTCACACTGAGCCTGGTCCTGCTGGATGTTTCTTCTTGTTTAAAGGGATTTTTCCTCTCCAGTGTTGCGATAAGCATGCGTGGTGTGAGGGATTGCTTCCGAGTCAATGAGTCGAATTAACCAGCTGGTTTTCCTCAGATAGAAAACTTTGAAACAATCTGACTGTATGATCTGGTCGAATTGTAAAGTGCCTTTAGATGACGTGTGTTGTGAATTGGCACTATGTATATAGACTGAATTGAATTAAAATATTATCTCAAGCTTCGAAAAGCTCAAATAACTCTCTTTAATGCATTTCTTGAAAAGCAGAAAAGGGGGGTGCCTTATCATCCTCCAAATATGACCCATCTCAAAGAGCGGCATGTAGAAAACCTAGATTAAAAAAGCTAAGCAATGTAGCCGAGACAGCAACCATCTGTAAGTACTTCCAAATGGTGGCAAAGTAGGGAGCTGAGCTGACCTTAGAAGTGTAAATCTTGGGTTAGGTCTATATTTGAAAATCTTTCTGAAATTTCCCCATTCCCCCTGTGGAACAAGGTAGTGGCAGGATCATTCTGTGGGGACAATGAATCTCTAGGACAGATAGATATACCGACAGATAGATAGGATGCAGATAAGATAAAAAAAGATAAACCAACCGAGTCTTTGACAAATGTCACAGTTTAATAAAGTGCAAATGAAATTATCACTAACAGAGATCAACTCTGTAATAAAAAACATAGGGTTTAATAACACTGAAAACATGGACAGCTTTAAAAAGAACAAGAGTTAAAGTCATTTGTAATAAAATATTAAGTTATTTATATTGAAAACATTAATGTGCTTCATTTATAAGATGGTAGTGATTGATCAAAAGCCTTTGGAATATCAAAATACTGGCATAATACAATCTCATTATCAGAGAACTCGATCACACCTTAAAAGAATGAAAACAGTGTCTCATTGCTGATGTCTATAATGACGGTTCATCATCTCCACAGGATGGGGCATGGTTGAGTTATTCCCACAGTCGATGTACTCGAAAACATCCTGTGAGAGCTGCTCGCTGTGAGACATGTAGGTGATATTCATGGTCATCCTGGGTGGAAAACAGAAGACAAAAAAATAAACATTAACAACTGCATCTTTATTTTAAACAAGACTTTTAATTAAATTAAACTGAGGCAACAGTAAGCATATATAATAAAAAAAAATGTATGGCACTTGTTTTCTCTGCTTTTTGTTTCTTTGTTGAGGTCTAGATGCAAAAGATCTATATTTGACCATTCAGCAAAGAAGCTGCTACATGGCTGTACATCTTATTTTGGCATTTGACCAATTAGATGAGGCCTTTAATGATATAATACCTACTGTAAATTAAGTTGGGGAAAAAAATGAAACAAGTCAAGAAAAAAAAAAACGTAAAAAGTTAATTGAAAAGTTAATAATAAA